ATCTTTTCAATGTACCTTTTTCTCGAGTTGTCTTCTTGTGAATCAAACTCATTCTATATGTTTTGAGACTGTGTGTTATGCATATAGCTTGGTATTTATTCATGCAGCTCTACCTTGCAACTTTTAAAACGCCTATTTGTGTCATTGAGAAAATGGGTTCCGAATTTTCAATCTGTATGTCATGTCTAGAAGCTGTAAAATTATTTGGTTCAATACCTGAATTTACAACACTTAAATATTATTTATGTAGAAGGTAAATTACATACATCTTGAAGACATTTTTTATAACTCTCTCTTGTATCACAAAATATACACACTTGTATATGTCAAGAATAGTCTTTCTTACACTGATCTCCTTTTCTTTTCACACTGACACCTTGATGGAGAGAGAGAGTATATTTTTTCAAGAGTTAGGTGGAGATCAGACTCCTTTCAAATAAAAATATAAGTTTCTAATTTTCATCCATCATAGATATTAGGTTCTACACATACTATTCAGTACACTCATACGACTCAGTCTAATAATTATATGTACATATAATGATTTTTAAAATCCAAAATAGGATTATAAAATGAAATATTAGTCATACATACAATCTATTTTAATAAATTAAAATTACACCAGTCAATAGTAGTCTAAATAAAAAAAAAATTCTAACAAAAGCATCAATCCCAGATAGAGTAGCCTGTTGGAATGAGAGAAGAACACGAGATCATAAGCAATGCAGTATAAAAAAACTAATGTTAACTGAATTGACCATCAAAATAATGCCCAGTACTTAGACCCTGTTTGGATTGAGGAAACATTTCTTGTTTTCATTTTGTATTTTTATTTTCATGAAATAATTTTTATTTTTAAATTTTTAATATTTAAAAATATGTTTGATTTGACTTATCATTTTTTGTTTTAAAAATAGAACATATTAAAAATGTATTTAGTTTAATTATTTTCATAATGAATTTATTTATTTTATATAAAATTTTAAACTACCCATTAATATTTTATTAATAAAAAGTGTTCATAATAAAAATTTTAGAATATATATTCTTATTAATACCAATTTTATTGTACTATTTATTTAACAAATTTAAACAATATCACTATTATATCTCAGTATTCAAAAATAATAAAAGATTATATAAATATAAGTTATGATTTAGACCATGTGTGATGATTTATATTGATTAACCCTTACTTTTGATGCTTCTATTTTTGCTTTATATTATTCCATTTTTATTTTAATTTTTTCTGATTTTATAATTATTAATTCACTTCATTAGCTTAAAGTTATTTTTAACTTATTTATTTTAAAAATTTTGGACTCTTTACTTTGAGCTCACTTAAAGATCCTATATCTTTCTTTTTCTTCTTCTTTTTTTCAAATTTTTGTAAATCATCTCCATCAACGTCAATAGCTTTATAATTGAAATGAACACCCTTTAAAAAAAGTCTTTTTCTATTTTTTTTCTCATCTTTAGAGGTTGATATTTCATTTGTAAAAGCTTGACACAATTTCCAGTTGTTGAAGTAGAATTGAATTTCTTATCAAATGTATCATAGTCATGCTCAAATTTATGTTTTTTAAATTATTTGTATTTTTTTCAAATAATAAATGAACAATTTTAATATTAAGTATATCTATACATTAAAATAATATTATAATTGATATTGATATTATTTTAAAATAATAAAATTAAACTTACTATTTACAAATATTCTTGTACTTCTTTAAGAACATTCACTTTATTACCTTCAAATTTCATGTAATTCTTATGTGAGATAGCAAAGTTGAAAATTCACAATATTGAAGACATAAGCAATTGAATTTTTCCTTCAATTTATCTATATCATAATTTTCTCCAATTTTATCGAGCAACTCATTATTTATATCTTTCCAAATTGTTATCTTAAATATAGACTTTTTCCATTTAATTTTTTTTTTACTTGTTCATAAATTATATCAATGAAAGCTTTTCTGTTTTTGATTGTCCATTCCATGACCTCTCCCTTCTCACTTTTTCTTCTCATCTTGTGTTAATAACTATATATCAAATAAACATATAAAAACATGAATTATTATTAATTAATTTTAAAACAAATATACTAAATAAATAAATAACTTATAAGTAAAATAATAATTTATTACTAAGATAATATGTTCTAATTTTTCTTTAAATAAAGTCTTGTCAATATTGAAAGTATTTTTTTATTTTTTATTTTTTTTTATTAACCAACTTATTTTATATATAAATTAATCAGCGCAATTATTATTTCTGCAAAACTCATGAAAAGGATGACATTCAAATTATATGAAAATTGAACATTGATTCAAGGGAAAGAATGACATCAAAATTATACAAAAATTGAAAAACTCATGCAAAGATATCAAAAATAATAATGCTCATCAAAAATTTTATGAAAAAAATAAAAAAAAATGTAAAAAACATTGTTATTATGTTTTAACAAAAAAAAAATTATGAGAGAAAAAGAAGGAAAAAGAGAAATAAATGTGAAAAAATAAGAGGAAAAAAAAAAGAAAAAGAATTACATGTAACAAACAATTTAAGTGAAAAAGACAAAAAAGAGCGTATAATTGAATAAAAAAGACAATACGCAAAACAAAATGTAAATCGACAAATATAATAAAATTTAATTATAATTAAATAATATTTACAATAACGTCACTGCATTTTCATTTTTTTTAAGTGTTCTCATTTTTTTTAAATATTGAAAAAAATGTATTTTTCATTTTTAAATTTAGATTAAAATTTAAAAATATTTTCAAGAAAAATATTTTTTAAAACTGAACCAAACATATTTTCTCTTATTAAAAATAAAAAAAATAGCAAACCAAACATGCCTAAATTTTCAAAAGTGGTATTAAAATTATACTGTGGTTTCATTAAAAAAAAAGAAAAAAAAAAGCATAGTCTACGTTATTCTTTCATGGTATAATTAACCGCTCCTCTTGCTTTTGTCTGATTGGTTCCAGGAGACCGTACATGGTTGCCAAGCACAAGCAAGACCAAGTTTATGCCTATTTATTATTATATTGTTAGAATATTTTAGAGCAATTTTCTGGTCCTAAAAATTAAAATCATATTTTTAACTCAACAATAATCCAAACTTTACCGTTTATTATAATTAAGGCAATATAGTGTTTTAATAAAATTAAGATTTAAAAGCTATTTTGATGCCGTTGGTGTTTGATATGCCAAAATGATGTTACAAAAAACTCTCTGCTATTTAATACAAGTAAGAATCAATACAACTAAGATATATAAATTATAAATTTATATTAAATCAATTTTTCATATTAAAAATTTGATAAAAAAATTATTAAAAAAATGAATATAAATATTTCTTAAAATTGTTCATTAAAAAATTACACATTATAAGAGATGGATTCCCACAAAGTTGTCCGCCATCAATATGGGGCCACGACCGCTGCCAAAATACATCAAATGTTATTATAATTAGCATCCAATTATACAACATAATCAGCACAAAGTGTTCCCTTCTTTTACATCAAAGGGTTATTACAGCTACCAAAATATTCTACTAATTAACTTCTAGTTATTTATTCTAAATACTTGCTAATAAAAATTTATACATAGTGTTTTTTATTAAAAATTATAATATTTAATACAATAGAATTTATTGTATTTTATAATTTTTCATTAAAAATTATTATGTATAAATTTTATGTTTTTTAACATATATTATAAAATTAAATTATTTATTTACTAAGAATAAGAAATATGGTACATTTTTATTTTTTTATTTTGTATTTTATAATTTCAGTCTTAAGCAACTAATAATAGTAAAATTTTATTAAAAAGAAAAATATTTATTATATTTTTATAATTTTAATATAATAACTATGTATTTTTTTTATAAAATTTTTTTATTTGTGAATACTTAAATTTAACTCTAAATACTGAAGTTAACAAAATTCATGTATTTTAGTATTTTAATTGAATTCAATAAGTGCATATTAATTAGCTTTTCCAGCTTCCTAGAATCAACTAGTTAGTCAATTAGGAAGATTAATGGAGGAAAAATAAATTATTTATTTAGATAGAAAATATCAATGGAGAAAGAAAATTTTAATGAATTGAATAGAGAGTAATTTAATCATGTGAAGTTTATTTTTATGATTATATTCATTTAATAATTGATTCACTTTTTGTAACACTTTTGAAAAATACTTTTAAAGCAGAATAAAGAAATAGTATCATATTTTCACTGTCGTATGAAGAAATACTAAAAAGAAATATTATTCTATTTAGTATTTAATTACTCTTATGCATGCATCGCATTACGGGAAATTTACTTTAGTCCTACATCATTTTATATACTCATGGTACACATTTTAAGTGAATGTTTGGTTGAATTTATTTTTAAAAAATTGCAACTTTTTAAAGGAACTTTAAGAAAATAATAATTTTAAAACATATTTAATAATATTTTATGTATAGTAACTTTATAAAAAAAATTACAAAATATTAATAACATATGAAATGATATAGTTTTTTTAGTAAACTTTTTCTTTGGTATACCATAAAAATAAACTAAAAAAATTAAGAATCACAATCTAAAAAGTGAAAAAAAATGGGAAACCAATGGAATTAGACAAAAATTCCATTCCGTAGAACATTGAAAAGTGAAAAATAGATGAATGGCTCGTGACCCGTAGAGCATTCGTGAACGCGTCGAACCCATCATCCATCACGTTCCATGTTCCAACCCCTACCCTAAAATCCTTCCCCCTTCCCTTCAATTTGTCACATTCATAAGAACCAATGTGCCACCACTAATTACCAATTACCAATTACCATAATTTTCACTATTATTAACAATAATATATTGTGTATAGTGGTGGCCACATCCACTGATCCACTCCTTCATCCCCATAAAACAAACACAATCCCATCCCGTGACCAGACCAGACAATATAAATTAGAGCATCACCCATCGTTAACAAAGGAGACTCACCATACCCCATGGCTTCTCTCTTCTATCTCTCTCTCCTCCTAATCCTAACCCTCTCCTCTGCCACGCACCACCACCATTCCCCCTCCATTTCCGCCGCCGCCTCGTCGGATATTCAACAAGCCTGCAAGGCCACGCGCTTCCCCCAGCAATGCGAATCCTCTCTTTCCCAATCCCAGAACCTCCCTCCCAACCCCACCCCTCTCCAACTCCTCCAATCCGCCATCGCCGTCACCTCCGACAACCTCGCCACCGCGCAGTCCATGGTCAAGTCCATCCTCGCCTCCTCCTCCGACAGCCGCAACCGCACCGTCGCCGCCACCACCTGCATCGAGGTCCTCACCAACTCCTACCACCGCATTTCCCTCGCCAACGATGCCCTGCCACGAGGCAGAACCAAGGACGCTCGCGCCTGGCTCAGCGCTGCCCTCGCCTACCAGTACGACTGCTGGAACGGCCTCAAGTACGCCAACGACACCCAAATGGTCTCCAAAGCGATGTCGTTTATCGACTCCCTCACCACCCTCTCCAGCAACGCCCTCAGCATGGCCTTCTCCTTCGACGCCTTCGGAACCGACACCGCCTCGTGGAAACCGCCCGCAACGGAGCGCAACGGTTTCTGGGAATCCGCTGGGTCGGGCGGAGGATCCGGACCCGGCTCCGACGGTGGTGTTCCGTCCAAGTTAACGCCAGACGTTACGGTCTGTAAGGGTGGAGGGAACGAGTGTTATAAGACAGTGCAGGAAGCCGTTAACGCTGCGCCAGATAACGCCGCTGAGACGCGGAGGTTCGTGATACACATAAAAGAAGGGGTTTACGAGGAAACCGTTAGGGTTCCGTTAGGGAAGAGGAATGTGGTGTTCTTAGGCGACGGAATGGGCAAAACGGTCATCACTGGCTCTGCAAACGTTGGACAACCCGGGATGACCACTTACAACTCTGCCACAGTGGGTATGATTCTTATTTTAAATAATTGTTTTATATTTCAAAACTTTATCATATAATAATAATTTATTAAAAATTTAATGATTGCAGCGGTTCTTGGGGATGGATTCATGGCTAAGGATCTGACGATTGAAAACACAGCAGGGCCTGATGCTCATCAAGCAGTGGCTTTGAGATTAGACAGTGATCTTTCTGTGATTGAGAGTTGTGAATTCTTAGGCAATCAAGATACTCTTTATGCTCACTCTCTCCGACAATTTTACAAGCTATGCCGCATTGTGGGTAACGTGGATTTCATCTTTGGAAACTCTGCCGCCATTTTCCAAGACTGTCAAATCCTTGTTCGTCCCAGGCAAGTGAAGCCCGAGAAGGGTGAGAACAATGCCATCACTGCGCATGGCAGAACAGACCCTGCACAGACTACGGGCTTCGTTTTCCAAAACTGTTTGATTAATGGCACTGAGGATTATATGGTATTGTATCGCAGCAAACCTCAAGTGCACAAGAACTACTTGGGTAGGCCTTGGAAGGAGTTTTCTAGGACTGTTTTCATTCGTTCAGTTTTGGAAGCCATTGTCATTCCTCAGGGTTGGATGCCATGGAGTGGTGACTTTGCTCTCAAGACACTCTACTATGGAGAATTTAATAACTCCGGACCCGGTTCTGATTTGTCTCAGAGGGTGTCATGGAGTAGCAAGATCCCTTCTGAGCATGTGTTAACATATTCAGTTCAGAATTTCATTCAAGGAAATGATTGGATTCCATCGTCTCAGTAATTAGCCCATCGTCGTTAGAGTGATAATCAGAGAACCGTTAGGAGGCATCAGTAAATGGGGGACCTTTATTCACCACCCCCCCTGTAATTACTTATTACCCATTACTATTACAATAACAATATCTACATTAGAAAGAAATTATAAATCAAGTTCTCAGTCGTATTGGGATGACCCCGGTTTGGAAAGTTGGATTTTTTTTCTTTTTCATTAATAAATGGTTTGTTTACATATGAACATGACCTGATCAAGTAAAAGTAGTACACCTTTACGTCGCTTTCCATATAGTGGAACTAGGAAGAACAAGGCATGGGGAAAAACCATTATGGGCACCACGATCCTCTAAAGTTAGCCCATTAATCGTTTCGTTTTCTCCAACTGTTGCGTGGACAACACCTCTCACCCTTCTTGCGTTATACAAATGGCATCATAAGTACATAAATGTTTTCTTCTATGTATTTAAAGCAAATAGTATTTACGGTCACAACGAAGTTGGACGCAGTCACCATTGTTCCAAAGAAGTTAATGCCTAGTGTATATGGCACGTTTGCCTCAACTTGAGCTTTGCCAAAAGGGTCGTTTAGTTGCTAATGTGTCTCACTCCTTTTAATAAATTTTCCATGTTCCCGCTGAAACATCGCCTTGATGATGAGTATGTTGAAAGCGTTGTACGTTTATTAGAATGAAACCTTTAAATGAGGGGTGTAAAATGGCAAAAAGAAAAGAATTGAGATTTCTTCATTTTATAGTGCGAACATAGCTCTTATGTGTTTATATTTTTATATTTTTGTTTAAGTAAAAATGCAAAAACTCATAACATAAAGATCTGGAGGGAATCTGATAAAAAAAAAAATAGAATAGAATAAAAAATAGGAATTTGTTAAGAACGGGTATAAACATCTATAAATATAATATATATATATATATATATACTTATTACATTAAAGTAAAAATAGAATGAGTATTTTATTTTAATGAAATTTTATTATTATTAATTGTTTATTTTTTAATAAAATATAATAAATGATATGATAAAATTGATAAGAAAATAGAGAAAATTTAAAAAATATATAAAAGTAAGCATAAAAAGTATAACTATTGGTTGATAGAAGAATCGTAGTTCAACCCATACAAGGAACGGTCGGAAATTAATTTGACAAAGAAAGAGCATTGGTTTGGGCAGGAAATTCTCATGATCGAAGCTATAATCACGGACGTAGGTATGGAGCGTTGCTTCCTCCCAAGTCCCTTACGTAGAGTGACCAAACACAGGTGTCCCCACAAACAATTTCATTACATCAGCATCGTAGAATAGTCTAGTGTTCTGCTTGGTCACATGAGGACTAGGCTATTACGGTAGTCACATGCGGCGCAATGGTCTCAAAGTACTTCCAAACCGAAATCAATTTCAAATTGACTGGTTCATACTTCACGTGAGTTTGCTCACTATTCATTGAGCATTGTAATTAGGTTAACTGTCCAGGTGTCTTTAAAACTGCAAAAGCTATTTTACTAGTGTGTTTAATTTCCATTTTAATCTCTCAAGTTAAAGCTTTTACGTTAACGTGAAAGTCCACTATATTGTGTTAATTTGAAGCTGCTTTAAGCATAATGAACATCATTCTAAACAAACAATCAAATCCAGTGACAGAGATACCATTGGTTTCATCCATGAGCGTGTTTAACTTAGCTTTTTACCTATTTACTTAGTTTAGTATCTAGCGTTTAAGTGTACAACCTCTTGACCTTTTTTTTACGATCATTATCTTATCATAATTTTATATTAATTAACTATTTAGTAGCTAATTTTATCAAATACTGGTGTTGTTTAGAAAAAATATATATTAATCGGTATTTTTTTTAAGACACCAATTATTACAGAATTAAAAGAAGAAAAATTACTAAATACACATCCACCATATTTCTCAATGCATCATTATTGTAATTAGAAATAAAAAATTATAATTTTTTATTTCTTAATCAGTATCCTTAAGAACTTTGAACTAATTTATCCACTATCTTTAACAAACGCATCCTAATTTGCTGCATAAGTGCTAATTTAGTAGTTTAGTAAACAAGAATGGATTAACAGGTTGTTTGTGGGCACTTTGAAATTGGAGCCATCCATATTGCATAGTGAATGAGTGGGCTCTCCATTAAGAAATGCTCTACTGAAGTGAATATAATAATGAGCAGGTTTGTTGGTTCCATGTGTACTCGGAATATTGTGGCTGATAATCACAATCACAATCAATCATGGGCAATAGTTGTTAACGACACCCCTATGAAACTTTCCTATTCAATTCGATTTTCAAAGAGTGGTTTACATTGTTGAATAATATGCCTGGTCGTTCAACCAGTTATTGCTCTGTCCCCAGCCTTGTTTTTCGCCACCATCAACAGGTACTAGAGTGCCTTAGCAACCACTTAATTTTGTTTATCACTTTTTATAATACGTCACTTCAAATGTATGATTAAAAATTAATAAATAATTTCTTTTTATTAAAATTCATGACACCTAATATTATTATATATTAAATCCCGTTATTTTAAATGAATATTTATTATATACAATTTTAATCATACCATTTATAATATTTTTTTAGAGAAATGTTTAACAGTATTTTTGCATTATATGCCTAACCAAATTCAAGTTCATGGTGTGTTTGGTATGAAACCCTCCCCGGTACCCAATTTGATGCGATGTTTCCTTACCATAAAACAAAACCCTGACGCATCGTTGCCCTATTCGCGCTTTTCAATAGTTTTTAAATAATAATAAAAAAATGTTAGAAATTTTTATTTTATCAAAATAGGATAATTGATGGATGTGGATTACAGTAAAAAATAATAGAAACGTACGACTAAATTATAGAACTTACTCTATATTATATCAGCTTCAACATAAAACACTTGAATAAACGTGTTAGTTCAAAGCGTTAATTTACTTTGCACTTTATAAAGAGTTAAATTGGTTAAAATTAGATGTATGGGTTTATAATATAAATAATATTAAAAATTTTATGATTTCAAATAAGTTTCTTGATATATAAATAATATAATATTTATTAATATAAGTATTATTATATGGATAATTATAATAATTTTTATCACAGAAAATATACTTTATTAAAAACTTCGTATGTTTTCACACGGCAGTCGGCAGCTCGTTAGTGTAAGATGGCAATTCATTTAGCTTCTTGTAATATGCCAAATTACTTTTTGTTTTTACATTAATATGCCAACTAACTAGATTTCTTAAGGGACTTTAAGTGGATTAGCTCCTTCCACAATAAGGGGTTAAGTGGTAGCTTATCGTCATCAATATACGTTGTTCTTTGCAAGATGTCAAACACAATTTATGAATATAAATTTGAATTATCTTATAGTATATAGTTTATAATTAAAAATAAGCTTTTGATATTATATATATATATATATATATATATATATATATAACTTTATGCTATCAACTAATTGAAAACTATGGTTGGTATGACTTTTGAAATAACTATTATAAAATTCAATAATTTTTAATGATATAGTGATCTTTGGTTGAATGATAGTGTAAAAAAAAAATATCTACTGTTAATAAATTGTAATTAAATTTAATCAAATAATATTAAGAGTATTATTTAACCTTTAATAATTTACATTAATACATACGCTATGTATTTTTGAAAATGTACAAAAGTTACTTTTATTATTACTTGTGAAAAATAAAAATTATAAAAAAAAAGACCTTCATTGAATCCGACATTGGCTCTTATAAAAACTTAGTTTTACCTAAAAAAAATTTAGTATTATTTTTTTTACATTATCATTAAAGATTAAAATTTAAAAGAAAACATATTTAAACAACTAAAAAAGTTTTCAAAGTTAATACAATGGTGTCAAAATATTAATCTAAATTTAAGAATTTATAGTATTGAAATCTTATGTATTTATACACATAGGAGGATTAATATAGATTATATTCATTCTTATATTATTTACTTTTTTTATGATCTTAGATTGAACTAAATCTTATATTATATTATATTATTTTTACATTTCTTTTTAGAATTTAGATGTATATTTTTTGGATGAAATAGTTTATACTTAATATTTGTTATGAATTGAATTTTTGTATTTTGATAAATTTTTATGTTAATAATTTCTTAAAAAAGCTTCAAAATGACTTAAATTTGATTGGATTAAAAATTGGATATTTTTAACACTATGATTGTTGGTATGTAACCATAGGTTAACTTTTTTATGCAATATCAAAAGTTTGACTCTCTGAATTTGTTTTAGACCCAACATAGAGTCTAGCCCAAGTTTTTGAGTGTCAAGTCTGTATTTTATATATATATATATATATATATATATATATATATATGAATGATGTTGTAATCATTTAACTATGATGTCTTTATATTTTGAATGTGATGTTATATTTAATAATAGTATGAAATGACTTGGATTTATGTATGTGAGTTGTATAGTTGTTGAGTATAGAGCTTATGCAAGTTGTGTGGGTTGAATAGGTTTAGTTGGTATAAAACTACAAGATATCTTGTTGTATCAAGATATCTTTTGCTGTAGCGAGAATAAATTGTCCAGAACGAAGCTCTCTAGAGTTTTCTCGTTGTAGCGAGGGAGTCAGACTAAGCGCCAAGAATCTTATATTTTCAGGACAATCTCGCTCAAGCGATATGAGTCTCACTCAAGTGAGACAGGATAGACTTGGTCCAATTGTCTTCTCACTCAGGTAAGAGGTGATCTCGCTTAAGTTAGCAAAGATTTCACCCAAGCGAGGTGAGTCGCTTAGGCGAGGACTCACATGAAAATTGTCTAATTCTCTAAACATTATCTTACTTAGGCGAGAATGACCTTTACTCAGGCAAGAATATCAAAAAGTGCTTAGAAAGAACATTGTATAGTTTTTTCGCCCAGGCGAGACAGGGCTCTCTCAAGCGAGAAATGCTCGCTTAAGTGACAGCGCACTGAGGGGTATTTAACAGATTTTTAGTATGAGAATTTCATTTCATTCCAAACCTTACATTCTCTCTCAACT